ATGCAGTTCAGCCATCATAGCATCCCTCCATTCAGGTTTAGATAAGGCTTCTAGTACAGACTTGGGTATCACATGGGAAGAGAAAAAAGCAAGAAAAGAGTAGTAGGTAGGAGATAAAAGGCTATAAGACAGGTATTTGGAGATACAATGGGTTGTACACTTCCGCTTACCCTTGCAGAGAGCAATAAGAAGATCAAAGTCTGGGAAAGAAGTAGATGGGTCAAAGAAAGACTGATCTGTTACCTCAGTAATGATGGGAGGAGCAAGAGGCTCTTCTGTAGGAATGAAAACAACTTGCCCATGTCTGAAATGGGCAATGGGATAAGTGGGTCCAATGGGATAAGTGGGTCCAATAGGAATGAAAACAACTTGCCCATGTCTGAAACAGGATGAGGAGGAATTACAGGAGGAGGAACAGGAATATTGAAGGTAGGTTCAATGGGATAAGTGGGCACCTCATGAGATGACTCAAAAGGAAAAGGAAGAGGAACTGTTGGAAAGGAGTGAACAATATGGAAAGGAGAATTAGATCTTTTATTGCTTATTGAATAAAATTGTCCACAATGCTTTGCCAGTTCACACGACTCACAATGAAGACTTGATAAAAACACTCCCTTAAACATATCTGGAAATAAATGACTCAAAGCAGAAAAAGACAAATGACCAAACCGAAAGTGACATAACATGACTTTGTCAACAGACTCTAACAAGACTGACTCCAAGGCAACTCCATGAGGTGGACCAAGAGCTCTATCAGGTGTATCCAGCAAGTATATTCCATTTGCCTCATGGCCACTCCCAATCATCCTCTGAGACTGTAGGTCCTGAAAAATACAATGAGTGAGAAAGAAGGTTATGCTACAGTTCATGGATTTAGTTAATCTACTAATAGATAAAAGATTTGTATTAAGTTTAGGGACATGAAGGACAAATGATAAATAAAGGGTGTTAGAGGTCTTTATATCCCCTTTTCCATAAAAGGGAGCAAGAGACCCATCGGCAAAGGATATTTTCTCTTTACCAGAGAGAAGATGCTATGAACAGAAAAGGTTAGACAAGCTGGTCATATGGTCTGATGCACCAGAATCAATGACCCAAGGGATTTTATGATTACCTGAAACTGAAGCATGGTTTGTAGAAGCACGAATACCTGAATGAACAAAAGCTGATGATGATGATGTGTTGCCTGAAGAGTGAGATGTAGAAATAGTAGCCTCCAAGTGATTTAACAACCTTCCATACTTTTTAAATTCTGCCTTCATTGCTGCCAACTGTTCAATGGTTGACTTCTCTTCACTCTCCTTACTTCCTCCTTCAGGTACTGTGGCAACATTAGCTGTCTTAGGCTTTCCTATCTGACTGCCCTTCTTAAAATTGTTGTTATTCTTAAACCGGTCTGGTAAAAGATCAGGATGAAGCTTCCATCAAGTGTCCTTCGTATGCCTCGGTTTCTTGCAATATTCACATACCTGCTCCTTCTCAGTTGGACCCTTCGGCTTTATTCTATCATGTGCAAAGTGTTCCGTAGGTGGACTCTGTAACTGAACCTACCGCCTACTCTCCTCATTGCTCACCATAAAATATGCTTAGGCAAGAGTAATCTCATCTTAGGTCAGAATATTCTGCCTAATAATGTCAAACTCAGGGTTGAGTCCAATAAGAAATTCAAAAACCTTGTTTCTGTCCACCAACTTCCTAAACATTTCTGCACCATTCTTACTCTCCCATACAACTGTCTCCATAACATCGATTTCCTGCCATAATGATTTCAATATAGAGTAGTAGATTGCCACACTCTTCCCCCCCTATCTTAGGTTCTTCACATCACTTTTCAGCTTGTAGACTCTAGCCACATTCAACTTCTGTGAATAAGTTTCAGTAACACTGTCCCAAATCTCCTTGGCCAAGGACATCCAAAGATAGTGTTGACTTATATGAGGCTGCATAGAGTTGACCAACCATCCTATGATAGTATAGTTCTCCTGCATCCATTTCTCAAATTCAGGGTCTGTCTCTTCAGGTTTCACTTTACTGCCTGTGATGTACCCTAATTTTCCTCTGCTACAGACATAAATTCTTATAGACTATGCCCAAGCAAGATAATTTGTCCCATCTAACTTAATTGTGGTCACACCAGCCAAAACAGAATCTACCGAGCCAAGCCTGAAAACCGGTACCTTCTTGAACTCACTTCCGTATTGCTCCATTAATCAAACGAAAATCAAAAAACTAGAAATTTGGTCTTTATAAACTTACTTAAAGCCAAACCAGTACCTAGATGCCTGAAAACTAGGGTTTTACTGCATCCGACTGTTGGGGAAAAAGAGAGAAGATAAAGCCGCTCCTACCAGAGCTTCCCAATCTCTTCCAAACCTGAACCACCCTCTTTTTAAAGTTAAAAGACACCTCCCAAGCACAGAGCACAACACCCAAAGCTTCACATTTACCCGTAACTTCGAAAATCTCTAGTCGGCTAGGGTTTTGGGTAGAAACAATACAACACCACTTCTTGGCAATATCTGGCTAGATTTAAACTCTCCAAACCCTCTACCAACTAGGCAAAAGATCCTCTGAACTATAGAGAACTTATCTCTCCATACACTCTTAATCGAAGGGTGTATGGGAAAAGAGAAAGAAGAAAAGAAGGAAGAAAGAAACCTGCTTTGATACCAAGATGTAATTCAGTCCTCTAAAACAGATGTAAACTTGAAAAAATTAGAGAGAAAAGAGGAAGAAAAGAAGAGAACAACAGTACAAGAGAAAGAAGATGGAGAAAAGAGGAGGAAGAAGAAGATTTCGAATGTCTCTTCCCTCCCTTTTCTAATCCTTTTACTAAAACTTCAGTCTTAACATAAGTGGGCGGTCAGCTAGGCAATAACATAAAGAGAACTAGAAAAAAGAAATAACAAGCCCATTAGCAACAAATAAATAAAAACAAACTACAAGAATAGATACTAGGGCCCATTCGACCCAGTCTCTTTACAGACCCCATTTGAAGTAGTTTATGGAAGGAGTCCAAGTCATGTACTAGATAGTGTCATTTCCCAATCTAGGTAGGAGTAGCATGGAAGCTGAGGAACTTGTTTATCACATCCATGAAATTCAAGAGCAAGTTAGAGTGAATCTCGAAAAGGCAAATAAGCAATACAAAGAATCTATAGATGTTCATCGTCGACACTTTGCATTCCAACAAGGTGATTTGGTTATGACATATTTAAGGAAGGAAAACTTAACACAAGCTTAAGTCTAAGAAGATTGGCCCTTGTCGCATCTTAAAAAAAATTGGCCCCAATGCATATAAGATTGAGTTACCATGCGGAATGGAAATTAGTCCAATCTTCAACATTGCCGATTTATATCCTTTCATGGTGACCCAAATCAGCCCTTTACCATTGTTGATGATTTGGGAATTTCATCTTCACTTGGAAAATCAAAGATAACTGATATTCTTGATATACGTTCAACAAGTACATGACGAGGCACTTACACACAATATTTGTTTCGCCGGAAGGACAAACCCGCATCAAAAATTGCTTGGATTAATGATGAAGACTTGAAGAATATTGATGAAGAATGATGGAAGACAATCTCTACACCAAAACTCGAGGACGAGTTCTTTTCAAGAGGGGGAGAATCATGCTCCAAGAAACATAGAATCATATGGCTAGTTGTTAGTGGATTTCTAACAGCTAGTTCATTAAAAGCTCCAACAACTCTTAACAACAAGTTTTTCATTTAATGTTGTAACAACTAGTTTTGCATTTAATACTCCAACAACTAGTCTTCTCACTTAATGTTCAAATAGCTAGCTTATTCCCTATATAAAGCCTTGTAATCTCAAGCCAAAGGCATAGAGATCTTCCCTTTGTTTTGAGAAGCCTATAGCCTTCTTCGAGAGTTAAGAGAGTCCTCTCTTTGGGTGAGTGAGTCCCCAGCCCCTTTGGGTGAGTCCACAACCTTGTTACTTCATATTGTAAGTCTCATATTAATAGAATTTCCATCCAATTTCCTTCTTGTCTCTTAATTCTCTGAGCAAATTTCTTTTTTTACATTTTCTATCATACTTGAGCTGCATCATCACTATATGCTTTTACTCATTTCTCTTCTTTTTTTGAATTATGGTAACTTAGTAAGCGAATTACATTTAGAAAAGTAACTAGTAATCCAATCACAAAATTCCCACTTTTCTTTTAGGAAAAAATTTTCAAAACTTGCTGAAGTATTTCTGTTTTTTCTTTTGAAATATTAGAAAGCTTTGACAGTATTTTGAAAGTCTTAAACCTGTGAATTTCAATTTATCAATCACATTGAAAATATCGCAAATACATTGACAATATAACGAAAAGAAAATTCCTGATCGTTTTGTTTGTATAACTCCTAGTAAAATCAAGAGATTGTAGAGAAATTTCACCAAATCTTGCCAATATTGCAATTGGCTGACTAGTCATTGTGTGTATTAATTGGCTTTCTTGGAATTAATGCACCAAAAATATTAGAATCTATGATTTCCCAGATATGGATACAAATACAGACACAAATACAGTAAACAGCAATATGACTCACAATTTCGTAAAATCCTGGACATGGATATGGGTACAGGTATCCCATGTAATATGCTTATATCATATTTGATAAGTATCGGATATTATATCAGTAAGCTAGGGATGTACAGGTACACGATTATCATAGATTAGAACTCTTATGTCAATAGCAGAAGTTCAGAATCAATACAGAATGAAATCTGTTTAACCTCCCTCAAAAAACAATACCTACCTTCCCATTTCACATTTACAAAGATTTAACAAGTTATGCACAAATTCATGTTATGCATATGAGGTTGTGTATATTCTGGGTAGATTGTTACATACATATTACTTCCCCAATTGTTTTCAGAAGGAAAAAGACATCTTATAATAGTTTTTCAGAAGTGCAGAAAGGATTTTCAAAAGGCAAACAGAATAAAATGAAATCAAAATAAGACAAAAAGAAACTAATTGTACCTTCTAGCTTCCTCGTCTCGAAGCTTAGCATCAAACTCCTTGCTTGGTGGGTATTTAGGCAAACTTGATGGATTACAAGGAAGAGGCTTTGCTCTGAAAAACTGAAAAAAAAAACTCAGGATTGTGAGTACATGAATCCTTTAATTGTACCTAGTAAATGAAAAATATATCATATAAATACCAGAAATAGGTATCTAAACTATAAATCAGTATAACAGAAAACTTCATCCATCACAGTGTTTTAAAAGTGCAAGGCACAAAAAAAACGCAAGGGGCAATTTGCACCTGAGGCACAAGGTGAGGCGCACGCCTTTTTGAAGCAAGGCGTAAAAATACAAAAAAAATGTCAGAAAATTCAAAAACAAAAGCCAAAAAATTTCAAAACAAATGCAAAAAAATAAAAAATATTAAACATAACATTAATAAAAAATAGGAACTTAAATTTTAGAGAAATTGTCTAAACCTCACCATGACTTTTCATGAATTCTCTAAAACTCGCCATAACTTCTTCAAAACGTCCAGGGGCCCCATGTCAAGAAGTTAACGTTAAATAACAGACATTGATAGATTACTATTTTACCCTTCTATTGTAAATGAAAAATAAAGCAAAATTTTGTAAAAAACAACAAAAATACATCTCAAAATCTAAAAAATACAATGTAAATAGTGGTTGCCACTGTTGTTCAACCAACAACCATGACTGTGAGCCAGACAATGCAGGGGGCAAGACAGAGCGAACGAGAGAGAGAGAGAGAGAGAGAGAGAGAGAAAGAAGGAGCAAGATGGAAAATTTTACCTCCAAGCTCAACATTGTCGCCCCTTACTTCACCCCTTGTTTGTTATAAACATGTGAAATGACGCAATCGGAAAACATGATAAGGAGATAGCAACGCTTACCAACATGAATGCAAAGGGGTACATTTTAGGTGTCAATCCTTGAATGTCTCGGTTGAATCACTTAAAAAACGCATCAAGGCGGTCCCTAATAACACACCACCATCAAGGTGGTCCCTAAAATTGCATCGAGGTGGTATTAGAGTTACAAATCAGCTTCTAGGTTCCAAATATAGTGGGATGTTAGTGGGACATATGACCCAATTTGCAGTTCCCTCTAGGTTGTTCTGTGTCTTGCCTGTTCCAGTCTTAACTCTGATATCACTTTCCTAAGCCCAAAATTTTCATACTCAACTTTCATGGCCGCCAACTGTTCACAGGTAGACTCAACATCAGTATCTGTACCAGTGGCTACATTTGCACTCTCTGTCTTTCTACTATCATGTTTCTTCTGGAATCGAACAGGAACAAGACCGGGATGTAATTTCCAGCACTTGTCTTTGGTGTGCTTTGGCTTCTTGCAATATTCACATACAACCTCCTTCTTTCCAAAGCCACTAGGAGCCCCTACAACTCCTTTGGGTTTGTAGAGAACAGTGATGTGGGCCCCACAGCTGTGGTCCCACTCTGTCCGTAAGGTAGAATGTATCTAGTCACAGCTGTGGTTATTTTGTTGTTCTGTTATTTCTAGTTTCAGTTTTATATTGTTTGTTATTTGTTAGCAGTTATGATGTAAACACCAAGGGCAGATATGTCCTTTCATGTAACTAGCATAACCTATATATAWTAACTTAAARTGGYRGCGGCAGAATATTGACATTCTGTTCTTCTCCTCAAAATCTGTRTTCTATTGCTCTTCCATCACTCTTTCTTCTACATCTTCTTCACATTCTCTTCTCATCGAACCTGAAATCTCTTAGTGATCAAGACTGAATAGGAGTCTTGAAAACCTACAGGGTTTAACCCCCATATTTGCAAAGTGATCACTAGTGCCAACCCCTTGAACCTGTACCTGTCTTCTGCTTTCTTCACTGCTGACCAAAGCATATGCTTGTGACAATG